CTATTATTTTTAGTGGTGGTATTAAAACTGGTGGTTTTTTTTTTTTTGTTTTTTTTTTAAATCAACAAATCTCTCTCCCTTATTCCCTTTCTCTTTCGTTTTCGGGAGTGGGGGGAAGGGGTTGATAGAGAGCGTCTGTTATGGTTCTGGGGGCTGTCCTAAGCCCAAACCATGACACTTGCTTAGTTTCATCTCCTTAAAAAAGATATCTTGTAATAGTTAAAACAGGTTTCTCCTTAACTGGATCACCTCAAAATAAAATAAATACAATGCATGAGGCATGATTTCATACCACTCAGACAAGTATTAAAATAAAAGCAGAATTCCATATCCACTAGAAATTAAATGAGGCAAGAGCAGGACCAACTTCAACCCTAGCTACTATGGTCTCAACCCAAATTATACGTTCTGACCTCCTGACTTGGTCTTGCAAGTCAGAGAGTGGAATTGAGTCTGCTAGAGATTGTCAAGTCATAACAAACAATTTTCTCAATAGCCTGAAGAAATGGGGACTGTGGGGGCAGAAAACAATTTTCATGCTGCCACAGTTTTGGCAGTATGAGGGAGTATTTAATGGTAGCTCGTGCCTTCTGGGGAGATGATAACTATTCCAATGTGTTCTGAATGGCAGCTTCCTGCTGCCACAGGACAGTAGGAACAAGAACCTGGCTCCAGCACTGGACTGATTCAGAATCAACTCTCTGCTTGCTTATAAAAATTCAAGCTTTAGCAACATATAGATGGCTGGGAATATCCTGGTTTGATTAACAAACCTTTCTTTATATCATCTGCATTACCATATCCCAATCAGTAGTGTCTCACCAGAATACTTTATGCGGTCCTGTTAATCTATGTATCCTTATCTCCCAGCCAAACCTGTGCACATTAACCCAATAATTAAAAAATCGGTCTCTGCAGGGTGTGTATGGCAGAGATGAGGATCCCCTTGGCAGTCCCTGCTCTCCCTCTCCAAGCAGTGGTACCATCCTATCAGGGAGTGGGGTGAAAGGAGGCTGGGGGAGCCACAGTGCTGGGGGGGGAGCACACCCCAGAGAACTGCTGTGGCCCCTGGGCTGTGCAGCACAGTGCTGCAGCTCTCACTCTGCTGCCACCTCAGGTTCAGCCGTCCTCTGTTTGGAGGCGAGGCAGAGGATCTGCCAGTGGCTTACCCCCAGGAGGGCACCTACCCTGGGCAGCCTGCCCCACCCCAGCTACTGGGTGTCCCCCGGGAGCACAGCAGCACACAGAGCCCATGTATGCATGTTACATAGCCTGGCCAGCCATTTTGGGCTCCTGCCAGAGCCGGCCGTGAGCGCGCAAACAGAGCCTGCCCCTCAGCTCACCAGGAAGGGCCCTACGGGGGTACGTGCAAGGCACATACTGTGCCAGGCAGTAATGGGGTGTTACCATCTTCACTCTGTAGGGACTTGCTGGACAACTACTACTGAAAGTAGAATGAAATATCACAGTAAGTACATCACAGCAAAAATTTGTCCACCTCAAGAAAGCCATGTCTCCTGAGGGCAGGCTCCCCTAGGCAGCCCATGCTCACAACAGGCCCAAAGTATCAGGATATCAACCGGTCACCCAGCCTTTTTGTGAGGAATTTGTGGTGAAGGGTCCCAACAGAGTGCCAGCCCCACCTGGGGGTAGTACTCGCCTTGGCTGTGCTCCAGCAGAATGAGTCCCCCATGCAGGTGGGGGCAATTGGTTCTGGGGCAGCCCTGCCCCTCCCAGTGGGGCAGAGGGGTGGGCTGGAGGGTAGGCAGCAGCTGCTGCTGGGATCTGGCCACCTTTCCAAAGAGGCTGCAGGAAATGGTATCTGCCTTCTTAGAAATAACCACACTCCCCTACTAGGGTTGCTTTTCTGACTGAAATCTATTAATGTGGAGGTCTCTGGGAGCTAGTGGACAATTCAGCTGGAGCTGTAAGTTTTGACTCTCCTCTTTCTATTGCTATTTGTGTCTCCTGACCTTTAGAGGAGAATGAGAGGTGAGGGGGATCTCTGGGCTGTGCCTGCAATCTCACCCCTTGGTATTTTATGGCTGACCACTGGCAAATACTAAAGGAGGTAGGTAGGCAGGCTGGTTGGCCCACAGACTAGCCTCAGTTGTTTGTTGACAATTTATAGCAAGCTAAGAATGAGTTATAGTTACTCTTAAAAATGAAATGTCTTTCTTGAGCACCTAAACCCCCCTCTTTTCCCCATTTACTTTCCGTTGAAAGTTTCTTTTTTGTTATAGAATATTGAATACATTCTTACCTTTTAAAATGTGGCTTATACTGATGCCAAAGTGTTCTAGTTTCTTGCTGACTTTTAATAATATATTTTTCCTCAGAAGCTAAAAGACTCCTGAGAATAAATAAACTCCAAAGTATTAACGGTTCTTTTTATGTTTGGCTAATGTCAACCTTTTGCACCTTCCTGCAAATATTGAGTGAGAGTTGTATCTGCCAGTTTGAGGTAATTTGTGTTCTGCCCACATGCTCCTCTTTTTTTTTTTTTAATAATATATAGTCTGTGTCCTGTGTGGAAAAAACAGAGCAAATTCTTTGATGCTCACATGCATACTTTTGTTCACATAAGTATGCCCATTTTAGTGATGTTCTTTCCTCATACAGATCAGAAATCCTGGTCAGAGTCCGTGATAGTTAGGGTACCATGTTCGGAGGGATTATCTAGGAAACAGTTTGGCTTTTTTTCTTATAGTTATTTTGCCTTTAGGATTACAGCTGCAGATTGAAAACAAATGGAATACTTTTTAGTGTATTATATTTAAACTCAGGTAATGTCTATGACTATACATTTATGTGGTTTTTTTTTTTTAAGAATTTACTAATCAGGATATGCTGTATGAAAACTTCTAGGAAATAAAACAGTTTAAATCATGTATGTGCACTATGTTTCTAATTAAAAAAATTAAGATCAGTCTTTAAATTTAGTGTCTCATAACCCCAGCTTTGTCAATGTCTTGTTTTTGCAGCATGATTTGCAATGTAATTACTACTGGTGAATTATCATTAGGAGTAATGGGACCAGGTTGAGTTTGTAATGCAGGTTTACAGAGAAGGAAGGAAAGGGAAAGTTTCAGAACATCACACTTATTCTACGTTTCCCTTACACATTCAGTCCATGGTATCTTTATACTGCTTCTGCCCTATGTTAATTTCTGGCAGATTTTAGTGGCAGACGTGCTTTTAAATGGTATTGGAAGCTACAAGTAGTCCAGTTGTAATCAAGGGTTAGATGCTTGTCAGTTCTAGTCAGTCAAAATGCACATCACTTCTACTATGTTTCCCTCAAACTGTGCCTTAAGCAATTCTTACTGTGTGTCTTCAGATGGACTGAAATTACCTGAGTTTTGAAAAGTCTTTTGTAAGCATGTAATAATGCTGTAAAAGGTACTGCAACAAGTTAAAAACTAGGTAGGGTAACAGAAAGCAAAAGTAAGAATGGAATCAAAAAGCAAAATCACTTAATATGCTTTTGTAAGTTTTGCTATACTGTCTCTTGCTGATATATTCATGAATGCTGAAAGTAAAAAATGAAAAAAAAAATTCATTGGACAAGTGAGAAAAAAAGAGTTTACCAAGTCACCTGATCCACCTAAAACACTTCTAGACAGGTTTCTGGTGTCTAAGCCACAGGCCCCTCAGGACAGGACTTGCATCAGAGCAGTAAGTGTCCAAGAAGTACAAAAATGATAATGGTTCAAAATTATTTATTTCATACATTATTGACAGTGCTTTTCTCTCCAAACTGAATTAACAGAAAATATTTAACAATGACCATAGCTCAGATCTGTAAAGCTATTTAGCATCCGTTGAAAAAAAAACAAAAAAAAAAAAACCAAAACAACTCTTTGTATGAAAGGTTGCCTGCAATTTTTAAATGTGAATGATACTGTTTCTTATTCTTTAATATGTATTAAGGCAGAGGAAAGAAAGTGAAACTGCTGGTAGGAGGGGAGTTATACCAAAATTATGAATTAAGTAAACCAATAGGCTGCATTTCCCTGGAATGATGTATGGCTTTATGTGATCTCTAGTGAAAGAGAAATTGCTAGTAAAGAAGCTCAGAGGTGTGAGGAATATATAAAATCTTTCACAGAAACTGAGCCTAATAGGCAAAGTAGTTTAAAGAGATGATAAATCTTAAACAGAAATCTATCTAATTTCTTCTTGGCTGAAGTTGAACCAAGATATTGAACTGCTGAACTGGTCCAACTTGGCAATTTGGCATTCTTATGCTCCTGTGTTTCTATTCCAGCTGTTTTAAATCTAAATTTTAAAAGTGGAAGTTCAGGAAGCGTATTTATGAAGTATTGGTGCTTATACTCTTAAACTGAAAATGGAGGAGAAGAAGCAAGTGATTAAAAATGTTGTACAGTCTTCCAAAATAGTTGGCAAGTGACAGTGTCTAAATCAATTATTAAATATAGAGAATGAAATAGAGGAATGTTTTACTGTATCCTTTTCCATACTAGCATTTGAACACTGTTACTTTTCTTGTTTGTTTTATCCTGTTTCATGCCAGATGTTCTTATTGGGGAAAACAATGGTGGTATGTTTTAATATTGATGAGTTGATTCTCTTGGGAATAATAGTATATCTACCTTCTCAGAATACAAATTGTGGGAGGTTTTCATAGTGTAATTACTATAATGCATTGAATTTTAAGTGCAATTCATTAAAACAGTGGAAAGAACTTTTTGTTTATTGTCTCTTCTCTGTACTTTCAGAGTGACTCTCCTTTTAAAATTATGTATAATGTTTTGGTGGCCTTCAAAATGTAAACACATAAATCACCAGAGGTACTGTGTAATCTGTCAAAGTAGCATATGCTTAAAGTGGCTTATAAACTATTAAATAATCATAATATTTCTCTTTCCAAGGTTATTAGTTTACTCCTTTAAACAATTGCAGAATGATTAAAGTACCTCGCTTTAACTTCTTCTTTTTTTCCCCCTTTTTTACTCTAGGCACTTGAACCCTGAAGTCATGAAATTCTAAATGATTTGGTGATGAGCTGAGCTTGCCATGCAGGCAATAAAAACTGTGGAAAAAGAAGTGACTTTTATAAAAGAAACACTTTTCACAGAATCTTTCCTAAAGAAACGGGAGTGCAGCAGGAGCCCGGCGAGCGGGCGGCTCTGCGAGCAGCAGCAGCCATTGGAAGGAGCTGTCTGCGGCTCTCAGTGCTGTACTGAGCATGTCCCAGCGGAGCCCAGTGCGAGCAGCACATTATGCAAAAAGGCAGCTCTAGCAGATGGGAGAGAGGCACAGCAAGCCTCTGCTGCCCTTGCATCACCACCGCTTGAAAACAAACCCGGATCGCTAGAGGGGAGCTCGCCGGCAGGCCAGAGGGATGAAATCTGGGAGCATGGCTTGATCGCCAAAGGTGCTGCACTGCGAAAAATCATGGGGAATCAAGATGGGAAGCTAAAGAAAAATGCAGGTGATGTGCATGAAGGAGGAGAGGATGTCTCTGGGCCCAAGGATACAGAAGGCACAAAGAAGGTATTGGGAAGCAGAAGGGGGCTGGGGAAGCATGCAAAAGGAAGTGAATCTGGTAAGAAGAAGGGTAAGTCGGACTCGAGGGCCTCAGTGTTTTCAAATCTGAGGATCAGGAAAAATCTGTCCAAGGCTAAAGATGGGAATAGTAGTTCACGGGAGGATGTTTTGGAAAGCCAGGCCCTGCAGGCTGGAGAGCTGGACAGTACTCATTCAATTGTTACCAAAACTCCAGATATAAGCATCTCTGCAGATGAAGGGGGTCTCTCAGACACAGATGTTGAACATTTTGAAATCAGAAATGAAACTGTCCCAGCTGCTGCGGAGGCACAGGATGGACAAAGGACCAGCTCTGGCTCTGATACGGATATATACAGTTTCCATTCAGCCGCAGAACAAGAGGATTTGCTTTCTGATATCCAGCAAGCTATTAGACTGCAGCAGCAGCAGCAGCAGGGGGCAATTAACATTGGAACTGAGGACCTTGTCACCAAAACAATGGGCCGACACATGGCTAATTCGGAAGCAACCCCCTTAGATTTTGAACGGTTTCTTTCAGTAACTACCACGGACAAAGAGAGGAGCCCAGACACTGAGGGGGCTTCTCCAGCGATATCTGAAATTGCAGAAATTGTTGCTGTCTCCTGTGCAACTGAACGTGAACTGAAAGCAGTGGAAAATGGCACAGGCTCTCCTGATAAGGACTTATTTAAAACACAAGAACGTAAGCTATTGATTGAGGAACAAGAACAGCTCATTTCTGGAGTGGATGCTATAGCTAGTGAACTGGAAGGTGATTTAAACAGAACTGTGGTAGAAAACAGCTCTCAGACACACAGCTCCACACAACCTTTTCCAACCTCGGTAGCAGATGCTGAGACTAAAACTGCTGAAGTGCAGGCAGTTGATTTGCAGGGCTCGGTAACAGAGGATGGTATTTCAGAAGCAGGCCGTGATCATGATGCTGAGACTCAGGAAGGGAAACACACTCTGTCAGCCAGTCAAGAGGACCTGCATAATGGTTTACCCATGGAAATGAAAAATGGCATTTTGTCCTCCGAGGGGACAGCAGGCAGCCCCGTGCCTGGTTCCCGAAGCTTTAAGCCCTATCTAATTAATCCTTGTTACATCAAAACCACAACTAGGCAACTGAGTTCTCCCAATCACTCACCTTCTCCCTCTCCATCCCAGAGCCCTCTTTCTACAAGGAGGCAGGAGTCCTTCCACAAAAAAGAAAAAGTCTCGATCAAGAAGAAGAGGTCTGCTAGTTTGGCAGGTTTATTTAGTCGGTCTGCAGACTGGACAGAAGAAGTGTCTAATCACAAATGTGAGATAACACAGAAGGTGGGCTCTGCAGGCTACTTGGAGCACAAGGGGTTTAGAGAGAAATTTCAAACAGAAAGAGTGCCTTTGACTCATTCAAGAAAGTCTTCAGGGGTGCAGGCTTCTACAGAGACGTTTCCCAATGTCTTTTCAGGTGAGTGATGTATTAAGGCTTTTTTACCAGAGAGTCTTTGAAAATATGCTTAAAATACTTGAATTCAGTCCTTTGTATGTACTATTGTCTTTATTTGTGCTGATGGTTTTAAAGGTCAAGGCCTGGTCTTGCAAACAGTCACATTTCATTAATGAGCATAGACTCTGTATTCAGTGTTAGCCTGGCAGTACTGCCAGTAAAGGAAGTACACAGCTCTTTAAAGTTTTTCTTTCTGCTTTTCTCCTTTGTCTAAATCCTGTAGGAAAAAGCTGGATGCCTTAAAATTTTCTTGTTGAAAAATGCTAAGAACCGCACTGTTGTAGGCAGAGCAGCATTCTGCATAAACAGATCTTTCAGTTGTGAAGTTTTCTGTAGCTGTAGTCCTGTTTGGCGTTTTCTTGTGCTAGGCACTGTTCTGATGTACTGCAAATATTTGAGAGCTGCACCTGGTGTTAGACTGAAGCAATGATGAGGATTCACTTGGTACAAAAAGGAAAAAGCCATGCAAGCACAGATGGTCAGCAATACAGAAAGGAACCAATTTCCCCTTCAAGAAGGGTGAAAGAGAAGAAAATGTTAATGACTTGAAAAGGCAGCATAAAATGGAGAAGAGAAGGGAAACTGGATCATAGAGTTTGATAGCTGTGGCAAGCTGCTGCTCAGGCTACATAAGGTGACTCATTCAGGAAAACATTCTTTTACTTTGCCTGTTGGGCACCTTGCATCCTGTCACAAAGGCACAGGAATACAGAGTTTACAAACTAAAAAGTGTGAATAGAACAGTTCCTGCCCTTTGAGGTGTTTTCCTCCTTTCTTTTAACCGTCATCTGAAGTTCCTCTACAGAACTGTGTATTTACAAACAAAGAAGGCCTCTGCCACACAGGAGGTTCGTACACAGAGGAAACTCAGCAACATATTCCGTTTAATTTTCACTTAAGAAAACTGTAGAATTAACAGAACGTGGAGAACATGCACTACAAGCATCCGCTACAAGATTAAGAGAGTTGAATCTCTAATCAGGTTTGTTTTGAATGGAAGTCTGTTCTAGAGGCATGAGCACAGTAACCCCAAGCTATTTGCAAAAAAATACAGTGAGAATTTTTTGTGCTTTTATGAAAACTAAACAAAATAATAAGTTTATGAAGAGAGCAATGACATGATTTTAGAATCACATGTAAGAAAACAGTTAAGCCATCAGCAACTGTTTGGCATAAAAAGACCACCTTCTTTTACACTGTAAATTTAAAAAATTATGTAACTTGTAATCGTTTACATTCATAGTTGCTTTCTTTGTGCACATTCTGCTCTGCTTGACAACATAGTAATACTAGTGAACAAACCTGTCTGGAAACAAAAATTAAAATTACTGGCTTTTTTATTTTTTTGCACAGCAGCCAACTCCAGGAGTTTTAAATACTGAGGTAAAGCATTAACAATATCTTCTAGATTAATATCACAATAATACTTTCATTCTTCAACAGTCTTGAACAGAATTCCTGAATTTGTCTTGAAAATTAGAATTTGAGTTTTTAACACACACAAAAAAAAAAGCCTCCTCTAAAGGGGGCCAGCCTCCTTTGAAGTGAGCTGAATTTTTTCTTTTAAATCCCTTTCATCTACTTTCTTAGATTGTTTCAGACATCCTTATAGAAAAGTTTTAATATTTGAGGTGACCACTACTTTCAGATTTATAACATATAAAAAGCACATTTTCTTTTTTTTTTTTTTGCTGTTGATATTTGGCAAGTTATAAACAACTTGGAGAGCAAAGTTTTAAATTACATCATCAGTAATTAGACTTTCTTTTTTGTGGTGCTGCTATGATGGAAATAATGTTATGTGCGAACTTCGAGAACATGGATTTTCTTTTTAAAGACCAGTTTTCCAGGAAGCAGACTTTTTCACGTTTGTTCACTGTGATTTACTTAATTTTTAGTTTGTGTTTTTCCACCAACACTTTAGACTGTTATTGTGAGGAGACCAATGTCCAATGCAACAGTAGTTCTGTCTCTTATGGAAATTACAGTTACCCTCATTTACATGTACATACCAGCTGTCTTTACAGGCAGAGGACAATTATACCTTTCAGTTCATGCAGAAAAGCTTAAAATGAGGCAACTGGAAACTACACGATACAAACTTCATCTCTTTTTGATCATTCTTATTTTTTAAACTGTTACAAGCTGAAAATTATAAACATAAAAATGGCAGCTAGTGTACCTAAGAAAAGCACATTTAAACTTAACATTAGTATTCCCATAGACTGGCTGTCATTGCTACAAGAGCAGAAAAGCCTCTTTATTTAAACTAGTCTGCACAGCAACAATTACAGAAATAATTTCCTTGTAATTTGAATACCGCTTTTGAAAAATGCTGTATTTTAATCACATGCATGAGATGCATCAATTCAGGGATTAACATCAGGCTTCTAGAAAAAAACATTCTTTACAGTGGCTCATTTCTATCTCGTAAAAAAAAGAAAATCACTTCTTGCCTAGAGCACTAAATCCCATCTTGCTGTGCAGTGACTGCAGCATTGTTCTGCATTTCAAACTAGAATCAAATAAAATATTCCACAACATTTTAGTCATCGATTTCAGTGACAGCAGGTTCTATGCAGATGATTGGCCTACTTCTGCCCTATGTTGTGGTTTGGCTGTGTGCCATTTGGTTTTCACAGTGATCCATATGAAGTCTTCTAAGGCTGTGTTAATATAAAATGCAGATGGAAGCCAACAACTGGAATGGTAGAGAAATTGCATATTTTAACTTTGCTTTATATAAGAAACAAGTAAAGTACAATAGTTCAAATTTGATGCACTGGCTAAGAATGTGGTGTGGACAAATTTATAGGCATTTTGTAATCCGGGTATTTATTTTATGATTAGGACAGCCGTATTTGAAATTGCAGTGACAGTAATTATCAGTTCTAGATTACCTGGTGCATAGTGGAGCTGAGGCTTTTATGTTGTGATCCCAGGAGGACAAGAGCTGAATCTGAATGAGCTTCCTCTCTCACTTTGGTGTGCAGCAGTGAATGATTTGCACTAACATTAAGAGAGTATCTTGGTGGGAAAATGAAACTGATGTTTCCTAATATTAATGTAACTGAAACAGAAGATCCAATAGATTGATTTAATAAAAAGGAGTTTAGCTTTGCACTAATTTGAGGTGCAGTGATTGCAGAGGAGCTAGTAAGCTAGTAAGGGTGTCTGTTACATAAACCGAACACAAGAGACCCATCAGCTACCCCAGAAGGTAATTAAACTCAACCCAGACAAACCCATGCACATTCTAATCTTTGTTGGCTGGCTGTATGAATCTTGCATGAATCTCTTTCAAACAGAGATTTATCTTTAAAACCATTTATGTTGAAATTCCTCTTCAGAGATTTATATTTGTCTTGCTTTAGCCGTAAACAGGAGACAAGCAAACCAAAAGTCCTGGTTACCTTAAAACAAAACCTGATCACAGCTTGTGTGCTCACAGCCACTTTCTGATTTCTACAGAGTGCTGGCCTGCTTCTCACAAAGGCCACTTTATCTCACTCTGGTAATGTCATCTGCACCCACTTGCAGTTCCAGTGCGGTGTCTGCAGGCACATACAAAGGTCTTAGTATGGACAAGTATGTGAAGACTTGAAAAAACGGAATGAAAGTTTGTTTCTGAGACAAAGCAGATTTTTTTTTCCTTTTCTTAGATACTCTTTCAAGCGTTTTTTTGTGGTATGTGTGTTTGGTTTTGTTTTTTTCCCATTCTGATTCATGTGATGCACACAATATGGATTTGTGTCTGTTGGCATCCTGATGAGAATGTTTATCATGCAACTGTTATTTAAGACTAGTTATGGTTTTCTCTTTTGCTGATGATGTTTGTAGCAGTAATACAAATATTTCTTTTATCAGATGGTGAGGCAGTGCAGGCTTCTTCAACTAAAGGGAGCTGACCAACAGCAACCCTTCATATGATATGAGATCACACATTACATTGAGTGCTGCCAATAAGCACCTGAGGGGAAAGCCCCTCCTCTTTTTGGTTAGTATACCCAAACCTGGGGTGGAGAGGGTGGGGAGGCTTGCAGTGCTGCACTCCAGCTACAGTAAAATGTGTTTGAAAATGGGCTAGAATATGTTATTGAAAGGATTCTGAGTGCTGATGAATTGCTTTAACGCTACTTTATCAGCACTGCAATATGGGAATTGGAGCATCATGAGTAATGTCACTGGAATTCAGTGTGCCACAGGCTTGTTTTGATGGGGTCTCATGATTAATGCTTTGATCTTTGTCTAAAACTTCATTGAGAGTAGCAGGTTTTGGTCATGAGATTGTGTGGCTGCATCTCTGAGGCAACCTCCTTCTGAGCGGCAACCCTGTTCTAAGGTCTGACTGGCAGCCTGACTTGCATCTGGCATAGAAATATGATGTCTTGATTGCCTGCTGGTCTCTTTTGGGTGAGAGGAGGGAAAGGAAAAGGGACAGTTTATAGCTGAAGGTCCGTGCAGCTCTGATTTGATCTCAGACGCAGTACCGTGTGCTATCCATCACACATGGGATCTGGCTAGAACTGGCCATTCGAGGACATTGTGTGCTTCAGTGACTTCATGCCTATGAAAAGAGCAGTGCTTTATTCCAGTGGGAATAGTTACACGGAATTTAAGTTTGAGTGTATTTCCTGGATCTAAATGTGCTTTATTTTTTTTTTTTAAAAACGTATGAATTATTAAATAATGGGTGGGGGTGGGGTGGAGGTGTTTGGTTTGGCTTTTTTTTTTTTTGACTGTGTATTAGCCCGCTTCTTTGCAGAAAAATAGGTTTTTTTCTTGAAACATTTATTTTCCTCCAACCTGTGGTGTCTAAAGAAACTTGGAATTGAAAACAATCTCTGGGAATATTTTAGGCTCCCTGTATTTGAGGGATCAAATTATAATGTGAATCATGGTGATAGAAAAGGAAAAAATACTAATTACCCAAGATATTTTGTTTGTGTTGTAGTTTAACC